AGGCTGAGCACGTGGAGGGGGCGGGGAAGTCCAGCAGGAGGGAAACCCGAAGCAGCTTCCTGCTCTTCCCACCCCACCTCCCCACTGCCATAGTCTCTGGCACTGCCAAAAGAGGGAGCCCAGGAAAGCCAGCCTGGGGGTGGCAGGAGAGGGAGAGACATTTCTTAAGCAACCGATCTGGTTTCTTTGGGGTTTGGCTGGAAGCTGTGTCTGGGGTCTGGATGAGCAAACCTTGTTCCCGTTTCCTAGGCACCAAAGCCAAGGAGGGGCCGGGTGGAGCTGCTTTGGGCAGGATGGGTAGCATGGGATGGAGGCAGGGGAGGGCCTTTATGTAATGTTGGGGTATCTGGGCTGTCTCAGGCAGTCTCACCTTTCTCGGGGTCTCCCTCCTTCTACCCCAGATCAGGCCTCTTCTGCCCCCTGCCCAAGGCCACGGCCTGTGCCCATAGCCATGGCCTCAGTGAGCAAGCTTAGTTTGTTCACAATGGAGAGGGGCTCCAGTGAGGAATGACTCAGGGGGCTTTTCTGTTCTGATTCCCAGAAGATCTGTTTGGGACTAGGAATATTCAACAAGGAAACCAGGATGCAGGAAGCTTGGGGTGAGAATGGGGTATGCGTTTTAAAATGAACCAGGAAGGTTGGCCAGTTCCAAGTACAGAGAGATTTTTAAAAACCTGCTTCCGCGCTGCCTGGGCAGTGTGTGTTATGGGGGTGACAGGCAGGAAGAGACCGAGCATGTTTCCTGGAAGGGCCCAGATGGCCAGATTGGAGGCAGCAGGTGGAGAGGCCAGCCCTGCACGGTCCCCACCAAACAGGGCTCAGCTCAGGCCACCCTGCAGTCCAGGTCCCCCTACACCCTCTTGGTGCCTCTCACCCGCCTGTGACCTTCACCTGTCTGCAGAGTGAAGTGGGTGCGCAGGTGACTGCGAAGGCCCTTTCTGCTTCTCAGTTCTGTGAGTCTTGGATGCTGAGGGCATGCAGAAGCCTTTTCCTCAACTAGGGACACTTGACCAAAGGGAGATTCCAGTGGAGGCAAATGGCAGGGCCATCATGATGTCATGAGTCAGGGACCCCCAGGCTGAGGTTCAGTGGGCTTTAAGTGCTTGTGTAGTTTGGACACTGGACCTGGGGAGACGGACGTGACAGAAGCATCAGAGGAAGGTGTGGACGCCAGGCTGGTGGTGGGTGTGTTGGAGGTTTCTAGCTGAGGTCTGAGCCAGCTCTGCTTGGAAGATTAACCTCTGTCTGTAGGAGAAATTGAAGGGGCGGGAGCACAGAGAGGCCCCCGCCCCACACCATCCAACCTGAGCACTCTGTGGGTTTGGGGGCTCCAGCAGGCTGCTCCTCGCCCATGGGGCTGAGGACAGGTGCTCCACCGGGGAAGCAGCTCCCACCCCCAGGCCCCAGGGGATGCTGCTGCACCCACTCAGCTCGGCAGGAGCACGTGGAGCTTTCTGCTCTTACTGCTGCCTCCTGTTCTGTCACTACCCTCCACCCCTGGCTTCTCTCCTCACCTCAGCACCCAGCCCTCCGCTGGAAGGGGTTCTAGAAAGCCCCATCCAGGTCCTTTCCTAAGATCTTGGCCACCTGAGGCTTTTCCGCACTGCATCGGTGATGTTACTGGAAGGAGGGGCCTGGGAGGGGGCACTGGGCTGTTGTCTCAGTCCAGTTCAGCTCAGCTGGTTTCTTCACCAGCAGGAGGGGCAGCAGAATGCCTGCCTCGGGTCCAGTGAGATCGGGGATGAGGACATGCTGCATAAACTGTGAAGCACTGTACAGACAAAATGTTGCCTCTCCCGTTTTCGCCTTTCTTTCCTATACCTGGAACCTCCGCATGTGAGCAGATCAGACCGACCCAGAAGCCTACAAAGGCAGCTGAGTTGGTAGCTTTGTCGCCAGACTGCTCGTGCCCAAAGCTGTATTCATTCTTCCGTGGCCTAACCTGAGGCAAGTTACTTAATTTCCTTTGCCTCAGTTTTCCCCATCTGTAAAACCTCAGAGAGTTGTTCTGAGGACTAAGAACACTATATACAGGTGTTTGTGGCTATGGTCATCCCTCCTCCCCATACAGAGGCTTTTTGAAGGAGGTTAAGGTCAGTATCCTCCCCGCTGTGCCCAGGTCACGGCCATTCCCAAGATGGGGCCTGGGAGACAGACCCGCACGGCCTCCCGGGAGGTACCAGGGCCTGCTGGGAGAGAAGCCATGTGTCTTGTGCTTCTCAAGCTTGAGTATGGGATCTTGTTAAAATTCATATTCTAGTTGGGTGGGCCTGGGGTGGAGCCTGAGAGTCTGCATCTAAGAAATTCCTAGGTAAAGCCCAGGGACCACACCGAGTAGCAAGGGATTCTCAGGCGTTCTGCCTTTGATTGCTTGGAGCTCTTCGGCCACACCCTCCATCCCAGCAAAGGAGGCCCAGTGCCCTGCTGGGGCCCAGCCCTTCTCTCTGGTGTCTCTGTCCCTGGGACTGAGACAATGAGCCGTGTGAGGATTGGGAGCAAGTCCAGCATCCACGAGGCTGTGGGACCTGGAGATCTTTCTGGTGGGTTTGGGGGCTCCGGCAAACCCTGCTCTTTTCTGTCCCCCATTCTCCATCCTGGGTGGGGACTTCCCTCTCAGACAGTATGCATCTATTCCAGCACCGGTCAGCGCCTGCTGCAGCAGCTGCATTCCTAATGTAGGTCACCCCCTTTCCTAATGAGGCTGGATACTTCTGGGGGTGGGAAGGGGTCCTTGGGTTGGAGGTGTGCTTGTGGACAAAGGGCCAAACAGCCAGGAAGTTGGGTTCTAGCCCTGTATCTCCCTAAAGGTCACTTCCATGGTGTCCAAGGAGTCGGCTCCGTAGGGAGCACAGGTTCCCCTGTCCCTCCCCTGTCATGGACCTGGGGGACTTTGTTTTTATCACATTTCTCCAGAGATGCTGGGGTCAACAGTGTCCTGTTACCTCGGAAGATGACACCTGGGGGTCTGCATTGCGGCACCTCGCCTGACTGGTTTTGTACAGCTGACATCATCCAAGGCTGGGGATGGGGCATCAGGACCTGCTCAAGGCCACTGTCTCCACTGACTGGTGCTTGCTGGTCAACCCCTGGGATCACTATTGGGGTGACACTGAGGTCTGGGATCGGTGGGTGGGGTGGAAAAGGAGAGCCTGCGTGAAACAGAGGGGAGCAGGCTCAGGTGGAAGCAGGGCCTGGGCTTGGGCGAGAGGGATTCTCTGCCGCCTGTCTCCTTGCAAAAAGCTGGAAAGGGCGGGAGCAGAAGCCTGGCTTGGGTCTTGAGCACCCCTCTGAGTCTGAGTAGAGAAAATATTCTGGGGTAGGGGCTGCCCCGCGGGGTTTTCGTTAGACCTTATTCCTAGGTTGGAAGTGTCTCTGTACCTCTGTCTGCTGGGGGCTTTTGCTGGCTGAGAGTTGGCATCTGAGGGGGAGTGCTGGAGGGCTGCCAGCCGGGCATGCGTGTGTGCACGCGTGTGCGCATGTGTGTGTGTGTGTGTGAGCACGTGCCTAACTGCACAGCTCTCTGTGGGTGTGTTTGCACCATGTGCTGTGTTGGGAGCTCCAAGCATGTGTCTGGGAGCCTATGTGCACCCTGCTCTGTGCACACATAAGTGTCTCCCCATAAGGGCCATTGCTGGGTGACAGTCACCAGGGAGTGGATGAGCAGTCAGACTCCGAAGCCGGTGACCTACCTCTGATTTAGTAGGTGACCTTGGGCAAGTTGGTCATCACCTCCATGCCTTGGATGGCCTCCAACGTGCCTAATATTGTGTGGGTGCTCTGAGCTCTGGATGTGAGGCTTCCTGCTGGAGTCCGAGATTATTCCGAGGGTCAGGGCCTGAGGGACACAGAGAGGGTGGGCACCGCTGTCTGGGACGGAGGTCCACAAAGCCTGTGCGTGTGAGCGTGCCCCGCCCTGAGCATCCTGCCATGGGCCATCTGCTCAGGAATAGAGAAGTAGACCCATGTGTGAGGCTGGTGGGACCAGGAAGGAGGTTTCACCTAGAACTGCTGCAAGGAGGAAGGGAACTGGGGCTTCCTCACAGCTATCATGGGCTCAAGTCCAGGCTGGGCACGTTCGCCCGAATGATCTTCTAAGGTAGTGTGTCCTAAATATAGTAAATGTTAACTCTCCTCCCTAAATTAAATTGATCTGCCCCGAGATTCCACCCATGAAGTCTTACCGTCCCCACTTTGAGAGATAAGATAAATGAGGCTCAGAGAGTTTACAGGGTTTGTTTAAGGTTGCCCAGCTAGGGAGTGGTGGGGCCGGCAGTGAACCAGAGGCCTGCCCACCTGGGCTGGAGAGAGAGCCGCTGGAGAAGGCGCCTGAGCTGCTCCCATCTCCTTCACGCCTCAGCCCAGGGTCTGGGGATCCATCCAAGAGGCAGTGTGGGGACCCGGGCTGCTCCCCACACTGCACGGCAGGGCCCCGGTGTCACAACACCTGGGAGGCTGGCACAACCTGGAGCCCACCTCCCCCACCCCAGGGCAGGAGGGGGAAAACCGAAGCCAAGACCCCCTCCCCGCCCCAGGCCGCCCTTGCTGAGAGCACAGCTGAAGGGCCTGCGGGGGTTGCTGGGTTTTAAGTGGGTTTTGCGACCTGAGGTGCTCCATTCAAGAGTGGGGGCTGGCGAGGCACTGAGGGGCTGCAGCAGGACCCGAAATGCCTGAGGGAAACCTGCTTCACCGGAGGCAGAGATTTCAGAGCTGAACGAGTTAGCTTCCCAGCAGTCCTTCCACCTCCTCAGCTGCCTGCTTAACTCTGCCTCTG